GCACTATCTTACATTCATTGGTGTTTTAACACATACTATTTCTTGCATCAAAGAAAGTCAACCTTACCTACACATCATGGAATTTAATCCATATACATATATTCCAGCAATCTATGACAATTCTTGGAGTTGGAGGTACAAAGGTTTTGACCGAAGCTGTAAAGAGAACAATTATTTTTCTTTATATTATTTGGCTGCTTTGAATAAGCCATTTCAAGATTTTAAAAGTAAGGCTTCCAGCCTTGATAATTGCATTTTAAGAGGTAACAGTGAATGTCAGTGATACTGTATTACTTTCATACTCAAACAATGTAAACAGAACAGAAGTCTGCGTTGAAGTATAATCGCGATAATGGTTTATCAGCACATATATGTGTGTAAACTCTTAAGTAGCCTATAAATTAATCAAATATAACGGTGATAACGTCAATATTTTAGAAACATATAAACACCATATTGTTGTTTGTTGATGTTTAGTCAGTGACTCCAATTTAAACAATACTTGCAATAGGTATCACACCAACAATTAAAGCTCTAACGTAAATGGTTTGAACCCGGGAGTATCGTTACATGTTTGTAAATGTAGATCGTCCAGGTTGTTATAGTCCTGAGAAGGACTGTTTTTGTTGCTGTTGTTGACTTTTTGATGTAGTCAACAACAGCAAAAACAGTCCTTCTCAGGACTATACTGGACGATCTATTTAAACATGTAATTAATGCTGTACGTAAATAAAATTTATGCTAATAACATGCCCGGTGTTAAATATTTTAAAATAAAAGCGATGTACAATTACCAATTTATGCGTTTGTTGCTACAAGAAACACGCCATAAAAAAACTTTTATAATGACAAAATTATATTGCTATCCAACGCAATGCGCAAGTTTCTTTTTGAGTTGAAAACATGGCAACGAAAATTGCAAACTTTATTTCACGTCGAAAAATGACGTTGTTTTGACTTCGAAATATAGTCGAAACAACGACGTCGATTGAGCGTCGGTATTTTGACGTTGAAAGAACGTCGAAATGACGTCGGTCGACGTCGCGACGTCATTTCGACTCGATTTCGACTGGATTTCGACGTCGATTGCCCTCTGGGATATCTCTTAAAAAGTTTCTTTTGCACCAAATTCAGCCTTTAAATGACTCATTCTTCATTCATTCATCAATGATTCATTAGATGTTCAAGAAACTATACGAAAGCTCTCACCATACAATTTACATCTGAAAAATCAAACGCCACATCCAAGGCTTGTTAAACATGCTTCTCTTTAAAAAGAATCTCGATTCAGAGCCACGCCGAATTCGTATATTCCATTAACACTAATGGCACAAAATTGAAAAACATTTCTGAATCTGCCATGTATTTCATAGATATACAAAAATATGACACTTTGACAGAGAAGGTAACGTAAAAAATTAACTGAATTAACAGACTGGAAATTGACAGACGATGAGTGGGAGGATTTCGGGAAAGTATGTTAAATAATATATCCCATAATAAGCGAAGGCTATGTCTTTTCCGAGAAGTAGCTATAGTTTTTATATGGATCTAGTACGAAGGGCGAAGTTTGTGCTAAGAGACAAATGTGATAATAATTTGTGATGATTTTTACTGCGAAGATTCTTTGAAGTATTGTGATAACGTGAAAATTCACATAAGTCCGTCATAAGTCATAGTCAACAGTTCTGATTTTGCCTTCATCTTGGATAACTAGTCAAATGAAATATGTTTTGTGCATGATTAGCTACATGAAAAGATCAGTTATAATTTTTGTTTGGTCAATTTTTTTGTTGATTTATTTAGAATACACAGTTTTTATATTTTCGTCTGATTAACCCTCAGTAACAAACTTTCTGCTTTTTGAAATACTCGAGATAAATCGGCTTCTATTTAATGTAGTTTAACTGCCGTATATATTTAACGTAATACTAAAGTTCATGACTATTTTGTGTGTACAGACCGTAACACGGCGTAAGTATGCAATAAAACGCCTTTCCATCTTCAATGAAACTTGTAATTCTAAGAGCATCAGAATGAAAATTAAAAGTTACAACTGTACAATTATACGGTGGCCCATAAGGGACACGACCAGTTTCTCCGTAGAAATGGAGCTTCTCCGTAGAAATGGAGCTTCTCCGTAGAAATGGAGCTTCTCCGTAGAAATGGAGCTTCTCCGTAGAAATCGAGCTTCTCCGTAGAAATCGAGCTTCTCCGTGAAATGGACCTTCTCCGTGGAAATGGACCTTCTCGTAGAAATGCACCTTCTCCGTAGAAATGCACCTTCTCCGTAGAAATGCACCTTCTCCGTAGAAATGGCAAATACCGGCTCTAGATGTCAAATATATCAAATTCTAACAATTCAAAATGGCGGCGGAAACCACAAAGTGAAACTTGTATAGCAAAAGTGAGGCCTTTAATGGCGCGTTTTTGTAGCGAATGTGGCACGGAATTTGCTAATGAGGCAGCAAAATACTGTAATAACTGCGGAAAGGAATTTTCAGGTAAATTTAATCATAGTATCATAACAGTGATCACTGATCGGTGGTCTGTGAAGGATTTGATCATAAATTATTTTAGTATGTGTATGATTCATCCCCTGTGTGAGCTGTTATATACTTTTGTGATATCGGGGACATATACCAAACATTTAGAAAAATATTTCAATTAATACATTTCTTGCTTTCAATTTGTAGAATTTCCACAAAATGCCTGTCACCATGAACAAGATTGTATTGAATACTATTTTCATCTGGGATACAAGTATCATGACATCACCAATTTATTAAAAACATATCATGGTATTACGATGTGTGTCCGCACATTAAAAAGAAAACTACAAAAATATAACTTGAAGAAAAGAAATGTCAACTTTGATGAGCAATATCTCAGGGATATTATAAAAACAGAAATGGAAGGAGCTGGACAATTTTCTGGTTACCGTAAAATTTGGCATCTACTTCGAATAAATCATCATTTACATGCCCTACGGAGTGTTGTGGCTAGAGTTGTCCATGAACTAGATCCCCAGGCCAGTAATGAAAGAAAGGGAAATAAACTTAAACGGCGAAAGTACTTATCTTATGGCCCTAATCACTGTTGGCATATTGATGGTAAATTTCAGTTTACTTGAATATGTTAAATTTTTTTGTCTATTTCATGGTGCATACCAGTGGTAGTAGCCAGGGGCCGCGGAAGTATCTCAAAAGTGGGGGGGCACTGACCGAAAAGGGCATGTGAGTTTGCAGCTTACTATTCTAGTATATTACAGATATGCATTGTTTCATGAATCATGATTAGGTTTCAAAGTCTGCAAAATATTGGTAGACATTTTTAGAATGCTATGCGTATTCTCTACTGCTCGGCGTGCGTGCTAACAAACTAAGATGACTACATGAACAATTTTATTAAGTAATGCGATCTCATTACAATCGAGTCCTAGCAAACATTCCGTTGACTCAATTTGCATAAGTCCTACAATAGGGCGGTAGTCGTGGAACTTGGCAAAGACGCATACGTTAGGTTTTGAAAAGGTGTGAGAGCTGGTTCGGTCGGCGGCGCGACTAGTATCTCTGAAGACGATGTAGAGTCAGATTCGCTGAATTTTGGTTTGGAATGAGAATGAGGAGATAAACACGTTGATGGAGTTTCTGTAGCTGACGGCAGTGTCATATTAGACCTAGAGTCGATGTTTTGGTCAACAACGTTCTCTGCTGGAGCACTACTAAAAAACTCGTCAGTTTTTGCGACCTTTTAGCTGTTTCTACAAGCTCTTTTTCCTTTTTACGTTTTATCGTAGCAGCTCTAGGCATGACGATTTTGATTAGAAGTGATTTAAAATTTTCAATTATTATGATTATGAATTGTCAACAGTTTTGTAGGACCAATGGCCTGAAAGACAATACGACAGGCGCAATGCGTTGCCGTAGAATTTATAGTCTCATGTGGATCATAAATTGCGACTTCTCATTGGTTAATTAAGTAACTGGGCCGACGTCTGCGAAGACAACCCCAATCGACAAACGCGATTTTTGATCTATCTGGGTAATCAAGATCAAAAACTAAGCTATAGCTGATTTCGCATGATGCCGACAGACTTTGTTCTACTCTCGGGGGCACTTGTATCTAAGAAAAACTTCTTCAGTCCAATTTTACCTAAAACAAGGGCATTTTTATACCATGAAAAAGGGCACTTTCATTCCAGAAAAAGGGCACATTTTCCCCTGTTGCAAAAAGTGGGGGGGCACTTGCCCCCAATGCCCCCCCCGGTTCCGCGGCCTCTGGTAGTAGCCAAGGGTAAAACACCTCCAACTGTCATTTCATGTGTTATGTACTGTTTGATAATACCAACATTTTCAAGGTTACAAGGTTAAATAGTTGGAATGTTGTTAAACAAAAAGAATGATAGCACAGCGCTATAACCAACAACTACAAACAATAACGACCTTATCTAACAACATTTGAGAAATTAACCTTCCACTCCTCTTTAACATCGATATTAGATTCTTTTCCAGTGGAAAGCGGGATGCTTTCACTGAAGGGCAATGATGTATTATCTAACATTAACACCGGATTATGTTACTGATATTTAATATGGAATTCGAGCTTTGTCCATATGAACTGTTCAACATGCTTCCAAACAAAAAATGAGCAGGAATATTCAGTTGATTAATCTATGATAAACCTTTCACCTTTTAACTCTGCTATACCGGTCACAAGCCCGGGACTTGTAGCGTATAAGGCTCTCTGCTTTTGAGTAGACTTGTCTGGTTTACAAGGAAGAGGAGTGGAAGGTTAATTTCTCAAATGTTGTTAGATAAGGTCGTTATTGTTTGTAGTTGTTGGTTATAGCGCTGTGCTATCATTCTTTTTATTTTCAAGGTTCATATATGAAGCTTTAGTGTAGGAAATATAGAGGAGGGGGGGAGAGTTTACTCATGTCCTCACCAGCACAACTGATGCATAGATTTTTGTAAATAAATATGAATTCCATACAGGATATGATAAACTTCAAACCCTTTGGCTTCCCTATACATGCAGCAATTGATGGCTTTAGTAGGAAGGTTTTGTGGTTGGAGGTATGCAAGTCAAACAACTCTCCAAAAGAGCCAACAAAATTGTATTTGGATTGTGTGATCGAACATGGTGGATGTCCCTTGTTAACTCGTTCAGATTATGGAACACAAAATGGTGATATTGCAGCCATTCAATGTTATTTTCATGATGATGAGAATGCTCATAAATATGGAACATCCACTAGAAACCAAAGGATTGAAAACTGGTGGTCACATTTTCGTAAGTCTTGTACTGGTAAGTAGGATCTATAACAACATTATCAGAAATATGTAAGACGCAGTAACTTTATAAATTAAAAAAGCTGGCGCGAAAAGTTAGTGATGGTAGTTGTAGGTTTATTGTGATCACATATTTTAACTTTTGCAGATTGGTGGATTAACTTTTTCAAAGATTTACGGGATAGCAGATCAGTGAACTTTGAAAGCGCATTACACAGACAGTGCTTATGGTTCTGTTTCCAAGATGTAATTCAAGCATCATTAAACAAAATGAAAGCATACTGGAATACGCATTATATTAGTTCATCTCGCCATGAAACCACTCCAGGAGTTCCTGATTTATTATTTTATTTGCCAAAAGATTCTGGGGGTGTTAACTGTCTTGTTAGGGTCAGTCAGGATAAAATTGATGAAATGAAATTGCGTCACTTCGAAGACACCAATGACGAAAGTTCATATCAGGAATACTTTCAGTATGTTATGGATCACGATGGTGTCAGATATCCAGACAGTCCTAAGGAGGCCTTAGATTCCTTTTGGAACTGAAGAAATTTAATGTTCATTACATATGCCAAAATGCATTGCTCTTTCGTAACAAGAACTTTAGAGTACTAACATGAAAAATTGATAACATACTTCAAATTGGATTCATTGTTACCTAACGTTTTTTTAACAAAACAATTAAATATGAACTTAACTAATAACTAATAATGCAGTTACCATTAAAAATTATGAATCAGAGTCTGAATCTGGAAAATCTTGGACTCTGTCCAAATCTATTGTAGCACACAGATAAAAATATATTTTTGAGTAGGGTTTTCCTAACTCCTGTTTGTACTCACTCAATACAAACTCTGCTGCACTGCCAGGTAACTTCTGTACAAAAGAATGGTCTGGATAGAGAAGAGTGTAGGAAGTATACTTATTGAACTGTCTAAAATGCTTCGAATGTTTATCTATTGCAGCCTTCATTAAGTCAGCTGCATTACATTGAGATGAAACAATTAGGGGTAGTGTTCTTCCCTTCAGCCTTTTTAACCTTTTCCCTTCAGCTTCTACGACACCAACTTGAATTTTAACATCCTCGTGTTGTTTTGGTTTCTTACACAATAGAATTTTCTTAGCTCGACTCACTTGCTTTCTTTTCCGATATTCGTCGAATGTTAATGTTGAAATCGGTCTAGTGGAGTCATTTGGCAACAGCAAACTTGAACTTGAACTGGATGATAATGTTGGCTCATTAATGCTTGGTGTTGAAGGTAGATTTTCTGATTAGAAAAATTTATAAAGGAAATATTGGTGGTATGTAATGTAAATGCATCAAAGAGAAATATGTGTATAAATGCATATTAAAATTAATAGCCTTTCGCAAAATTCACCCTATTAACATGTAAAATGAAAATACATTATAAGTTTTTCAGAATCTTTTACATAACCACAGTAATATTTACGTACAATTAATATCCACAATTCATAATTGATGATTCTATTGATTCATAATACAAAAAATTTAAGAAGAAACGTTTTATTACCTGCAGATGTTGGTTTCCCGCAGTTATGACAGTATTTTGCTGCCTCATTAACAAATTCCGTGCCACATTCGCTACAAAAACGCGCCATTTAAAGGCCTCACTTTTGCTATACAAGTTTCACTTTGTGGTTTCCGCCGCCATTTTGAATTGTTAGAATTTGATATATTTGACATCTAGAGCCGGTATTTGCCATTTCTACGGAGAAGGTGCATTTCTACGGAGAAGGTGCATTTCTACGGAGAAGGTGCATTTCTACGGAGAAGGTCCATTTCCACGGAGAAGGTCCATTTCCACGGAGAAGCTCGATTTCTACGGAGAAGCTCGATTTCTACGGAGAATCTCCATTTCTACGGAGAAGCTCCATTTCTACGGAGAAGCTCCATTTCTACGGAGAAGGTCGATTTCTACGGAGAAACTGGTCGTGTCCCTTATGGGCCACGATTTCTACGGAGAAGCTTGATTTCTACGTAGAAGGTCGATTTCTACGGAGAAACTGGATGTCCCTTATGGGCCACCGTACAATTATTTACTTTAGCTGTTCAATATTATTACTATCACTATAGCAGCTGAAATAAGAAGAATCGTTCCGAGAACTATACAAGCGATAGCCAATCTGTTGGCCATTTTTGCTGATTTCATGGCACTTTCATAGTCACCTGCGTTGTAATGATGTCTTGCCTAAATAAGATGATAAAATTCAGATTATGAGAAATTTAGAAGTGCAAATTTTCTTTAAAAATAGGCTGTTTTTGCACATTTCACGAAACACAATTTTTTTATAACTGTCTGGCGTTCGGCAACGGAGAAAATCAAAATTGAAAACTTGATTAGCTGCACACAGGACAAAATAAATTGTTTCTGCTTGCAAAAAACATTCTTGCAAATCGATTTAAAAAGGTTGCTTGATTAGTGTGGTAAATGAAATCTCAATAGTGTTTGAAAAGAGTTTCCTCGACGTCAAAATTCAATATAGAAATTTCTTACATAGCTTGCTTGAAGTTTTGACAAAATGGGACCTATACGAGTATTTTGTTGTCAATTAAGTTGCATAAGAATGCACTAGAGAAAGAAAGGTTGAATTTTCTAGCAAGCGAACATATGTACAACCTATATGAAATAAACACAATAAGACACAGAGGCTGATTGGTCTATAGCTGTGTTTGCTTTAGGCCAGGGCTGAACAGATTTGAGCTGAACCAATTAAATCAGTCCATCAAGCTAAGAGCATTTGCATATCAATCATGAACACACTTAAGAGGAAAAATCAAATCGTTTGCTTATTATTGTACTTTTTGGATTATTGTTATGTTATACATAAAAATAAAAAAGTTTTTCATGTTTTCACAGGCTAAGGCAAAATCCGCGTAGAGGTTTGTGAGAACTCTAGAATAGGTGCGAACTCTTAAGTTCTCCCAACAGTCTCCTCGGTTTGCGTAAGCCTGTGCAACTACTCTCAACGGTCTCCTCGGTTTGCATAAGACTGTGGAAATATCTTCTATCTTTCTTAAATACATGATAAAAATAGTTTTGAAATTTTGTGTTTGTGTAGAAACAAATACCTGACGTGATATTAGGCGTGCAAAACAACCAAGTGGATAACAACAACACAGAGACGCAAAGGTGATCAGCACCATGTAATCATTGAAAACTGGAATTGCTGTTACCCTAACTGCACGCTGAGGTTGGTTCTAAGAAAAATATCACATTGAACTTTTTCAAATACATTTTTTAAGTGTTAGGCAAATATAAATTTAAATTTTGATAGAGTTATGTATTAGGTTGTTTTGATTCTTGTTTGTCCTTACTTGCACAACAACTGTTGTATCATTACTCTGTTCATGTTGAATCATCGTATTTGGTTGCTGAAGAGAATAAAATCGAGGATGGTGACTTTGAGGTGCATAATTTTGATTATTTTGAGGCTGTACTTGTGCTGGGTAATTAGCAGGTTGTCGTACAAGAGGGGGAATCAAGAGTGGGTAATCTTCAGGTGGATATTCTTCAGGTACATACTCTTCAGTAGGAGGAACGAGAAGTGGGTAATATTGAGTATGATGTTCGCTAGAAGAGTGGCCAAGAAGTGGGTAATCTTGAGATGCATATCTTTTATTTTGAGTGGACTGTACTTGTGGGACGTATTGCGGCTGGTTCTCACTTCCATTTTGTAAGATTGCTCCATCTGGCATTAAAAAATATCACAAATTTGAATTTGTTGTACTCTATCGGTTACACGAGAAGAAAGAACGGTCTTTCATCGTGGAGTGGACAGCGGAAGCTCAGTAAGTTAGGAATTACTATAATTAACGTTTATGGAATGCTTGACGTCTTAATATAGTCATCACTAAGATTTTTCAACTTGCACAACAACAGTTGTTTTGTTATTTCGTTGATCTTGTATCATTGGCATTTGTGGCAGAGGGGAACAACATTGAAGGGGTAACTTTGAGGTCAGCAACCTTCAATGGTTGATAACATAGAGGGTAGTTAGTGAGGTTATCTTTTTCATTGTGGTAGGAAAGGGGCTGATCTATCTACCTTTAGAAAATTTTGGAATATTTATTTTTTGTGCCTTGTCCAACTTATTTATTGTGCAGTGCATAGCTCATGCTTAGTTATTAGTACGTGATAGGAAAAGGCCATATTGAATCAGCAATTGATGGCACACTGGAAAATTTCCTAGGAACGTTGCTCTCCCTCTTAAAATTTTGCTGTCCGTTAAAACCTGCTTCGACGTGCGATTTTTACCGCAACTGTTGAATACTAATTTCTCATAAAAATTTTCAGAATTCTAGTAAAAGTTTAGGGTTATAAGAGTCAGCATTGCAGCAAATAATTTCACATAAAATTAATGGAGTACTCTCTTACGCACAGTGATTCATTGTGCCTTTCATACAATCTACCAACAGCTAAAAATTAAACAAAACTAGTATGTAAAACATAATGTAGCTCCACATGTAATTTATAACAAGTCTGTTAATTATGTTTGTTCTACGAAATATTTTCATTTTTAAAAAGAAATTTATCAGGGAAGACAAAGTCAAATTTAGTCAATTTTATTCTTCAAGAAGAAAGGTATTCCCTTAAAAAATTATCACTTGCTGACTGAGACTAAGGAAAACAGTTATGTGGTTTGCTTATCCGAGAACGCCTTTGTTTCTCGAGGCAAATTCCAAACAGAACGAACGGAAAATCATTTGATTAGAATTGTCGACTAAAAAAGAAAAGCCAATTTCAATAAAATTTTTAAAAATAGTTCAATTAACAATGAAAATTAGAAAGCAGGGGCGGATCTAAGATTGTCAAATCAGTCACGCGACTAATGTTTATAGTTCAAAAATTATTTATCAAATTTAATGATTACAATTTTTTGTGATCATTAAATTCCCGTTCTGTAATCGTTTGGATTTCATTGTCAAAAGTATGTTTTATACATGAAAACTAATATAAATACCACCTTAGTAAACAGATCACTAGATTTTAACATGTATGGGAATTATATTAACTGGCTGACTGATAAAACAAAGTTTGCTTTTCACACTTCTAAAAAGCAGCTTAAACATGTACAATTGTCGTTCAAACTTGTTTTATATTAAAGTCCAAACATTGTTTAAGGTTTTTAGACATTAAGCTGGCTCAAAAAGCACTGTTTTGTGCAAAAATCCGGCAGTTTCGAAGTGATGTATTTCGCCTTTGTACCCTCAATAGCGGATCATGCAGGCTTCAAAGACAGCGGCCAAGTTAGCCTTCTAGTTGCTACAGAGTTCACTGATCGAAATCGGATAAACCTATTGAACTATAATAGATGGAAGGCTAACTGCAATAAAAACGCCTAATGATTTTTCATACAATTTTAATAAAGGCAATCAATTTTAAATAAAAAATAATGGTCTAACTTTTTTAGTAAAAAAATGCAAAATCACAATTTAAACGTTTTATATTACTGTGTAGTTATATAGCAATCTTTTTACATAACTAAATTTTTTTAGTTTTAAGTTTTTTTCATTTTCATTGTAATTTTATTAAATACAACTGATTTTAAATAAAAGTCAGCAGTTCTACTTTTTTAAAAAATTATTGCTCAAATCAATATTTACACGACTTTATGCTTAATTTATATTTACACGACTTTATACCTGATCGTTCAATTTATACAAATCGGAAACATTTCAGCAAGTACTTGTTTATTTTGGAAGGATTCAACTGGATGTATTCAATAATATACATGCTTCTCCACGAATCATTTATACGTACACATATTTACAGAAGCCCTTATAGTTTGGGAGGATGTGACGAGTATTATCATATATAATCTAATTTATCTTTTGAAACCAAATCTTGTGTAAGTTTGAAATAAAAATTGTGTGTTTCTGTACATTTGTACGTCCATGGAAAAGCATTAATAATAATTTTTTCGGGTAAAATACATTTACAAAACTGATGTTTTCTTAGAATTTTAAGAGCATTTTTATGCTACTTTGAAACAAAAACGCTTTAGTTTTTGGCACATTTGCAGACATACCAAAATAAACAACAGCAAAATTCCTTCTAGTTATGCTTGGCTATGACTTCTTTTTCAAAACTGTAATTGTCAAAAAGTTGTGTATACTTGGTGTTAAGTCTTATTTGTGAAGTTAAGTTTTGTCAATTTTGTTTCTGGAGCTTCGTAGTTTGTACAAGTTATTTTACGCTTCTGTCTAATGGCCGTGTGTTTACAAATGCATGAAAAGACTCAGCTCTACTGGCTTCAAAATATCGACTGACGTAGCCTTCCATCTATTTAGTTCAATGGGCTCGACTGGTTCGACCGATAACGGAGTTCAGGAACGCTTATTTAAGCCATTACATTGATCAATAGCCAGATCAGTGGACGATCTGGAATAGTCTCGACCGATAAGTGGAGAGGCCAGACCTATAAGGGAGTCCAATTAATATCGTGTAATCGGTTCGTTTAGATTTTTGTCTTACTGTGATTGGTTTGACCGATTTCGACGGATAAGCAACTGAACTAACATAGTCAAGCTCACTTTCTGAATTGAATGTTTGATCGTTTCATAGTAATTTTTTGAAGAAGGATTTATAGCTATGATTTCTTTAATGCTTAAGATATCTTGGCCATTACATGGCAGCGAAATTCTACATTCTTTCAAATGTATTTCATTGGACAAAAAATCTGTAGCCATAAGGTGCCATGCTATTACTCACCTTATTATAAACAAGTGTTTGGGGCTTTTCAGTTTATGATCATTGATCATTCAATCATTGGACAGTTATACTACACATTTTTATAGATTTGAGAAAACTAATATTGACTACATAAGAAGCTGTTTGCTGTAACTGTGATTATAAGTCTTTATGATCCATGAACCTTCATATTTGGACAATTTGACTGGAATGTTATTAAAGCCTGAGTAGTTCACATACATGAAATGTTCTGCCATGTCACATATTGTCCCCCTTTCTAACTGAACACCTCATGTAGAGATGTTAAGGTGTGCTGATCTACGGCTCAAACCAGAAATTCCTAAGAGCTAGTGATGTATGAAAAGCATTTCCTACAAAATAAAAATGTGTTCCTAGGTATGGAGATAAACCTTGAAATTTGGCAAAACAGCCAAGTATTTTTCATGATCACTAGGTAATTTTTCTGATGATAATTATAATTTCTAAACTAGACTATTTCAGATTTACATTTAAACTAGTTTTGATTATATGAAAGAAAAGATATTTATCGTGACTAGTAAGCACGACACATGAACCAATTTTAACATTCATGTAATTAGATGATTAAAGGCATGTTGGTTTACATTCTGTTTATATTGGCAAATACAATGCTACTAGTGATTGCTACATAGCATAACTTGCATAAACTTACAGAAGATAATAGTCTAGTAAAATGTCTAATAAACATCAATGGCATTAAAATGTCCTTAATTGCAAATTTTCACACTGATAGTCTTTGTTTAATCTTTGGCAGAAAAAAACTTTGAGTTTTTTCTCAAAAGGTAAATTTCCTGGCACTGTATGTAGAGATGGGTAAAGGTTACAATTAACTTGCATGGTTTGAAGTCTCAGCTTTTCTACATCTATGAACTGTCCTTTGTAGTATCTCATTTCTAACCTAACTCATTACATAGAATTGTGAATGGGGATCTCTAGGGGTTCTATGCCTGACAACTTGGTAGAAGTTTTTAAAGACTCTTTCTTCTTTGGAATAGCATTATTGTAAAGTAAATTTTATGTTCCTAGGCATGCTAATGAGCCTTATATTTTGCATGATAATGAGCCTAAATATTTGGCAAAGCATTCAAGTATTGTTCACTTCAGTTTTTAAAAAACGTAAGAAAAATTTGCTGTTTTACGCCAAAACGATGCCCACAAAAATTTTGTATTTCTCAAAACGCTGAAAATGGGCACTTCCAAGGCTTTGAAACTCAAAACTTCCCGGGAGAGAGTACCTTGAACCCCCCAGGTGCGAAACGCTTCCGGCGTTCCATGACTGATGTTTGAAAAATTCTAGATCCGCCCCTGTTAGAAAGAATATTCATTTACACCAGGGGTCTCCAAACTTTACAGCCAGAGGGCCACATGAACTTTCATTCAGCATGTTGAGGGCCGACGAACCGTATACCTCTTGTCAAAGAGCGAATATTTTAATAAAACTCTTTCTAGTTGGCTTGCGTCATAACGTGAACTTTCTGCACAAAGTTTATTTCGTTTAATACTATATTTTTTTTCTCAAGTGTCTCTGCGGGCCGGATTGAGAGGCCTAACGGGCCACATCTGGCACGCGGGGCGTAGTTTGGAGACCCCTGATTTACACGATAAAACGCAGAGTACGAAAGATGTATTGATCAAAAAATTTTAGACAATACAATGACATATATAGAACTGAAATTGTTATGGGGTAGGTTGCACGTGCTCTTTACGGATAAAACGTCGAACAGAAGTTGTTTTTGTACAGACCGAGCACATATAGAACGAGATTTCTCATTAAAGACCGAGCAAGCTACGTTGAAAGAAGGTATATTTTCTGGCATAACTCGACCTGAAACGAAGCTTTGTTTTTTCTCGTCGTCGGCATTGTTTTGCATAGACAGGTTTTCACTCGTCTAGTTTTTTGTCAGTAGAAATGAATCGTTTGAAATTGTGTCATAGGATAATAAAACGCACTTTCCTAGTATGCTTCCTTCGACTCACATTCGTGCATTACTCTTGCTTCGCTTTCGTCTGGCAACAAAGACGTCGATGTATTTGCCATATATATGTCTGTGAATTTGAACTGCATTTTGAGATTGTTCTTTTGTCTTATAGTATTTGTTTTAATACTAAAGGTTATAGGTGTACTTTTCGAATAACATAATTAATATTTTTTTGAATAATTTACATATGATATGCATGAAAACATGTTTCAGGATAATGACTTGACAGAGAGACAGTTAAACGTAATATTTGGAACAAATATTGTACAAACACTCTGCAAACCTGTGAAAAATATATTCTACTAACCTGTGAACATACTGCTAACCAGTATAAGAAGTCAAATGAAAGGAGCCTCGCCACAGAAATAAGAATATCATTTGTAGTATGACTCACATATTATATTTCTTTATGTTCTGTTATGTATCACCACAAAATTTTATTCCGATCGAATAAATAGTCAACTATACGATTTGTTAGTTTTCTTGTCAAACCTGCATGATGCAACACATACGCCATAATTGGCCACAAGAATGTAGAAAACCTAGTTCGTTCGCACTTTAATACAGTTAAATTACTGAACGTGTAAGTGAATATTCTTTTGTATACTTGTATCCGATGCTTCGGGTTGCTTATTGAATTTCTTTTAAATATTATTGAATTATACCTCTTATTTTAAGTGAAAATCAATCCAACTCAACTTTCCCAAATTTCCGTTCGTTACATAAATATTCCATAGTTATGTTGTTGTGCTGCAGCACTTATTGAATGTTTATTTTCTTTAATGCATGGCAGAAGGTACAGTAAAACATTGAGGCCGACTATGATCCAGGAACTCTATAGACGTAACACAGAGTGGTGTCTAGACAGAAAACTGTTTAAGCAGGAATGGCACATGCTTAATTTTATACCCAACATTAATCTTTTGGATTTCAGAATTAACTATCAAGTAAACCTTTGATTCATACCACCCTGACCCTGGAGTAGTTGCAGTGAATGCATTCCATATATCATGGAAAGTTTTTAGATTTCATACTTTTACTCCTTTTAGCATAATAAACCAGGTTTTACAAAACATTCAAAGAGAAGAATGAAAGGGGCTGGTACTTGTCCCGAAGTGGCCAACACAGGTTTGGTGGCTCATTGTGATGGACATGCTAGTTCAGAAAGTTATTTTGAAAATGGCGAAAGATAGAATGTTGTACCTGAAAAGCGGCCCCAACGAAATACACCCATTTTATCAGAAAATAAATCTTCTAATGTGTCACGTATCCGTGAAAAGCTTCAGAACGAAAGTTTTTCATCAACAGCTACCTACATCATAAAAGCTTCCTGGCGCACAGGTACTCAGAAACAATGTGAAAATTTTTTCTCAAAATGGAAACTATACTGTTGTGAAAAGAAAATTAATCCATTTTCTCTTGCTGTAGAAGAGGGAATAAACTTTCTAAGCAGACTTGATGATGATGGTATTGGGTACATTGTGTTAAACACTGTTAGATGTGCTTTATCATCGATAATTTTTTGCAAAACGATCTATCTTTTGGAAACCATCCTTCAATATGGAAATTTGACAAGGGTTTACATGAAACGAGATTATAATTACCAAAACATTGTGATATTTTGCATGTTAATACAGTTCTGCAATTTTTAAAGACGTTACAACCAGTGGAAGAATTAGTTTTGAAGGATTTGACAGGTAACTATACTCTTGACACTTACACAGCACAAAGATGCCAGACATTACAAGCTTTATCCGTTGAAAATATGAAACTTTCTAAAGACCAGAGCACCTTTTCCTTCAGCAAACTGCTAAAAACATCCCGAGCAGGGAAACATCAAGCTCCCAAAATAGTAAAGTCTTTTACTCCAAATAAGCAGATCTGTTCAATTGTTACCGATATTAAGAGGAAAAGAAAGCCAGCTGCTAATTATTTATCAGCAGCCTTATAAGTGTGTAACAAGAGATCCAATATCGCAATGGCTCAAAGAAGTTTTAGAAAGGTCAGAAATTTCTAATTTTACAGGCCATAGTACTAGAGTAGAACTGCATTATCAGCAGAAGCAAAAAGTTTTGTAGACAGCAAGGTGGACAAATGCCACAACATTCAATAAATTTTATAATAAACCGTACGCACAAAAAAATCTGAGCCATGCATTATATTAGACACATTTTCTATATAAAATTAGTAGAGGCAATTTTGGAAAGAAATATGAATTTTGTATTAAAATAAATATGGGTTGATATTGGTATATCTTCAGCTCGTGATTTCCAATAGTTTGAAATCTCACATGACTCTTTAGCGGCGTAATCCATTGACGAAATAGAATTTAAAAATTAGGCCACTAGACCTACATTAAGTTTGATTGTAATTCTATGAGTTATTTGATAAGGAAACTAAGGAGTCACCTTCTCCTGAAGTATACAAATGAAAGAAACTACATCACTGCATGATGGACATTCCCACCCGGATAAAAATATTCTATTGAAATTACTCGAGGAGTTAAAGACTGATCACTCGATCTGCGTGAGCATATCTCTCATTACTTTCCTGGTCCAATGACCCATAGAATTACAATCAAATTTTGACTTAAGATAAATGTCGTCTACTCTTCGAATTATAACATAGATCACGTAATAATCGTTATTAACAAGGTCACGTGATAATTGAATAAACTTGATAATAGATTACGGCTGTCATCGGAGAATAATACAAGCCATCAAGTTTCATACAGAATTTATGTTTTCTACACCTCATTCACACATGTTTTGTGCACCCAAAGAGCAGGTTGAATCATGCGCACATTTGATCCAATAAACTACCAATATTAATTAACCTTGTTATTAAAGAATAAGATCAATATTCGGGCCAGTGATTTATGCCGTGTCATCCACTTGCAACTGTATTGATGAAATGAAATTGCTTCGTCTAGTAATAGGCTGCAAAAACAATGAATATATATAGCGCCGAAATCTTCTTGCCGTTCTTTATTTCCGTTTATTACAATACCTTGTCTGACCTTAGGATTATATGCTCACTATGATTTCCGCACATTGTAAACGATTAATGAGACTGCTGGTGTTCGAGAAAGAAATGTTTACCCTTAGCATCAACAGCATGGTATGTCCAACTCGAGCGAAGGGGACGACAGAAACTTAATGATGAGTTTTAAAGATTCATTTGCATTTTATCTATGTCTCTCTTGAATAGTTTTTTTTTGGACATTGAAATGAAGTTCCATAAGATTAAAAATGCTTGATTACCAGCTAGCGTGTTTTCCTCGTTCACGGCACTTCGTGGTTAACTATTCTTCGAATCTCTTTACATTCATCAATTTATTGAATAGAAAATCCTAATTTTTACAGTGGTTGCTACAGCTACAAGCCTACTATATTTAAATAAAGACTTTATCGGGTTAGATTGAGCCGGATTCAAATTTCTCCGCCTTTCCGGCGTGATGAGTTTCTTATATTAGATCCTTACAAAGCGACACGTTTCTGCGTTGAAACACCAATCAAAGATCGTCAACATTTTGAAGTTTCTCTTTTCTGTAAGTGAAATCACGAAAATTATTCTACTTTGCCCATATCGAAGAGAAACGTCTTTGATCAGTAAAGTGTAGCTCGCCGAGAGCATGATTTCTTTCCTAACGAGCCACGAGTCACGAGGGCATACACAATACTCACGATCAGTTGCGGATTCATGTGTCATTGTTTACACAGAGTTCTAAACAAAACATTGCGAAAATAATTAAAGGTTTTGTATTTGCCCACCACCATTCATATGTCGTGTACGATTGTTTTCAGTGTCCTGTTTGCATCTATATAAATCGTTTCATGAGCAAATTGAATTAAAATAATGACATTTCTCGTTCATTGAACAATGACTGTATACCTCATTGTCATTAATTCTAAGAAAACGACTAGCAAATGTTTTATAGTAAGCAGCTGTTTTGAAGTACGGACTTAAATTGATCGAAAGATTCATGCAATTTAGGTAGCTAAAGCAGATACTAGCAAAAATTGAACTTGAAGAAGCAGAGCTTTGTTTATTTTTGTTGTTATTTACCGGTGGCTCAAATGCAAATAAGATACTGACGTCAAAACACTTATGTATTCCATGACGATAGCTGTGGGTGGCAGGCATCCAAAGAAATATTCAAGTTTCCTACAAACTATTAGCGTCAACGTGTGGAAAACGAAATCATTGTTTACCAGCGTTGTTTTGGTTTTTCGAGCGACGTGTATTTGCTTCTAGACATCAAGGAATTTGAACGAATTTGCTTTAAAATATAATTATCAAGTGCTGTCGAGAAGAATTAATTACTTGTTCGATGACAGCAAACGGCGCGTAAGTTGTTGTTCCCAAATTGTTTACGTTCGTTTTCATTTTGCTTGAAACTCTTATTTCGTCGCTCTCCTACAAGGAAAGCGAATATTTATCATCGACACAAACGATAACGGTTTTGATTCCCGATAAATAGTTTATTGCGGCTAAAGTCGTTGCGAATAACGAAGTCTTTGTTTACTTGTTGTTATTTGTGAAATGTTGCAGCTGGCAAAACGATTTCAAGCGCTTTGATATTTAATGTAAGTTTTTAGTTTTTTTATGTTTCATGTTTTGTTGGCCTGTTTAAATCATGGCCGAATGTTGTCCTCTCTGAACAAAGGGTTTTCTCGAAGAAGTCTCACTTGTGTTTGTGAGTTCAGTTTGAAACAAATCGCTTTTGTTTTTAAATTTTCTTTGAAATTACTGCTAAACTTCCCTAGACTTTGGCCTTGTGGCGTCGATGCTTCTTTTGCGCTAAATTTTGGAATATTTGCTTGTTTTGTCTTCTGAACAGCAGCTAAGCGCTTTGGCAAAATAAACATATCGAAGCTTTGTAATTGCAGGAGTTATTTACCTTCCAACAAATAATATAAAGTTACGAAATTTGCATACGCCTTTGTTGTCTTTTAGCAAGGTGAATACTCAAGTGCCGGTCTTCGACTCGATAGCGTCGTCGAAAGTTGAAATTTTTGTTTATGTTTTAGCTTTATCATTCCTAAGAACACATAAAATCAGTTAGATAAATCATGTACATTCATGTTGTGTGCGATTTCCCCTTTTTAGCCTCTGACACAGACATAGGAAGTCGAAGTGTAAGTCGATGCTTCGAGTTTTTTCTTGAATTCCCGCCATAGATTTTAGAATGCGGGAAAGTTGAATATTGGTTTGAACGAAAACACAGGACCGTTTAGGGTACGGGAAATAATAATTTCTGGAAATCTTTAACAAAAATTATTTAAGATTAGATTTGTTTTGATTATGCAATGAGTTGAAATGCTGTTAATATTTCAAAGTGGTATGACGTATTTTCAATTTAATTCTTTTCCGATTGCCTTTGTACACTTCACGGAACGGATATAGGACGACGATTTTTTTTCCATTGCAGTACGTGTCATCATTTCACAACAACCTTTTATGTTGAGTGCTATTTTTAATATATTTCAGTAGCCAAGGCTGCATGTGCTAGATTGTTTCAGCAACGTAATTTATAAAGTAAAAATATTGAACGGAAACAACATTTCACGTTTCTGCCGTCTTTAGTTTTTCGACCAAAAGCTCATTAATGTTTTTGACAAATTTTATCCCGTCAAAATTTCCGACATTCACCAAGGATTTTGACGGTTAAGTGAAATATAGAAAACTTTTCATGAAAGCTTTGTAATAGTGATTGAAAAATTAAAAGTTTTCAATGCAGATGACGTTCCCATCTTATATCGAATATGTTGTATCTATCAAGATGGCTGGCGAAAGAGCGATAAACAGGAGTCCCTTACCACTGATTGTTACCATTGCTCCTGGTGATCGGGAATATCCTCGTACGAAGACAGAATGCAACCATTGTGGGGGTGAGGTACCAAACCTCCGAGAAATAATGCATAAGCACAACTATGATAAACCACCAAACACTTCGTCAACATCTGAGAGCTCAAATAATACGTTTCGGCCATCAGCGTGTGCCTGCAGTCATGATGACCGTACTCACGCTAATACTCACCATTCACAGCACTTCAGTAGAGAGCAAGAAAGGTAAGAATGTGTTTGCCAACAGCAGTCATTTTATTCCAATAAATGAAAAAAAATATCTTTGCATTGTTGGTGAAGTTAACGCTTTATCTTCGCTATTGTCGATAACCCGGGTCTTGGAGTATTTAATTTCACTTTGATTAAAGTAACCGAGGAAAATTTTACTTCCTTCAACTTGGATATGTTTTAAGGTTATTTGATATAATGAAAATTTGATTTTTCGTGGCACAACTTGTGGAGTTATATGTTTTGCTTTACCGTATATATCACAGTAAGTTATGTAATTAGGAAAAACTTCATTTTCCGCTCGAACGATGTTCTAGTTTAAAAAGATTTAATTAATTATCAATTCTTCTTGGAGACTGGAGAGATCCGTTCAGAAGGTCGAATGAACGAGGATCAAAAAGAAACATTCATTCTAAAAATAAAATTTCCCATTTGTTGTCACTAAAACAACATGTTATACATGAATTCTTTCTGTGTTTAGAGACAGTAGTCTTCGTCATGTGCACCACGCGTGCAGTCAACCTACCTCAGATCACCAATGCTGCTCTGATCATTCCCTTAGCTGCAGTAGCCGTTCTAACACAGATAAACGTCATCACCATTTTCATCGTTCAGCGATACCACCGCCTCCATTGTTGCTAAGACCCAGTAGTGGCTCGGACTTAACCAATCAGCATCAAGTATGAAATTCCACTGTACATCGCATGAAAGAGAGGTTTTTGTTTCTCTAGCGTCAGTTTTACTGCTTGCTATAATGTTTGTCATCGCGAAATAATTTTCGAATAAGTTTAAGACGAAAAATGTAGTCTGGGAACCATCTTTGGTTGCCAAACTACCGGCTATTGATCTAAGTCCTTGATTAAATTTTTTTCAAAAAATGTAATGGGCATTTGAAGCTTGCTTTGATCTGCAAAAATAATGAAGCAGGAGTGGGTCTGAAAGAAACTGTATTTAATTTGCTGAAGAACTTGTGATGTAAAGTTTACTTATGAATGGGCTGTAGTATATTACACCGATATATTGACAAAAGGGTATAAGACGTGCTGGCTACACTGCAATTTTTACATTTACACTGTCAAGTGTAAATTTAAACTGCCATGTGTTTTCCACAAAAAATCTACCTGTATGCCTATCACAATATTTTTAAACAAAGTAGCTAAGTGGTTTAGTGAGAAAGCTGAATTTTTGACAGAATTACTTGATGATTTTCCTCAGGTTTTATTCATCAAATTTTGTGGTTTGCTAACTTATACAAATTTGATATAGTTTGTTCCTCGCTTTATACTTGCCTTACTTATTGGTCATATTGTAGTAATGGGTATTACTTATTATAATTAAGTAATTACCTTAAATAGTAAATTATAATGCATATAAATTACAACTCACTGAACTTAGTGCACTTATAACACATATATGTGGTATATTTACAAACTATATTTTTAAGTTATTACTCGGGCTTTCCTTAGTATTATTTTGTATTAGATTATTGGTTATCTCATGCTAGTTTATTCATTGTTAAGTACCACAACTAAGTCATGAAAGAGGCAACCAGTATTGCCGAACCTGTGGAAGCTTTTGAAAACTAAGGGTTTATCATGGATTAACTCAAATAGCATTTTTTACATTCTACAAATAATTACAAATATTTTCCAAAATGTTTCTGTCGCTGTTCATTACAAACAAATGTCATGCAAATTGCATCAATGTTTAATGAATAAACCATATCTTTGTGAGCATGGCAAACCACAGAGGCATTTAACATTGGGGATGTCATGGTACTTCTAAGCCATGTTTTCATGCCACAAAGCTTACTAAAGTTGCGTTCAGCTTCACCTGATGTGGGAGAGCAAATTAGCAACAACTTGCAAATGCAATGACATTGCACAAAGTTTATTTCTGACTTCACAAACATAGAGAAAGGGTGAAAATTTGTGATGGAATTGTTTCAATTCTATGCGTAATGATTCAGAATACAAATTATACTTCTTGAGTAACGTCTCTTGTGCCTCAGTTATATTTCCCGTCAGTACAACTTCTTCAAGAGCTGGATAGGTTTTCAAACCTTTGCTATTAAACCTGTCAGTAAGTAGTCCAATCAGATTATTTATTGAGATGCTGAACTTTGAACCTTCCTCACAATTGTCATTCAAAGGAAACCTTCCTCACGAGTGGTAACCGTTTACCCGCAGCTTTTTTGCAACTTCTACTCTTACAAGTTCAAAGGTTTGACGTACCGCAAGTCAGTTTCAAAACAGACTACAATAGTTTTTGGCGAAATCCATTAGTTCATCTAGGATGCAGGTGCAAAGGCTTTTTATAGGTTTTTTGAGGACATGTGAAAGGGACATGCTAATTTTACTGAAAAAATAAAACTATTTTCGGAAAAGGAAAATAATGATGAGCTGAGTAATATTATTACGCCATTAATAATCTAGCGCGACTCGCGAGGTCTATGCAGAGAAATATTGTATAGAGGTTTTTTTGTACAGATCGAGCCCGTAAAGCGACGTTTGTACTACAAAACAGAGATGCAATATTTCTTAGTAAAGATCGAACAAGCGTAAAAGTTTAATACATGTCATTTTGTACCTGAAAAATAAATTTCGTTTCTTTTCTCGTCCTCATTGTTTTTCAAGGAATGGCTTTCACCACTCGAGTTTTGTCAGTAGAATATAAATCGTCTGAAAATGCGTTGTTTAAAAAATAGAACTCACATTTCAAGTATTATTCTTCTGAATCCGTAGTTTATTTTTGATTTTTAAGTTTAACACAACTTACTGTTTGCTTTAGGGAATTTGTTTACCTTTCCTAAAAATTACGTGTATTAGCTATAGACCGCCGGAAATGTAATGAACCGGCAAGAATGTTTCTTAGCCAATCAAATCACGCTATTTCAACGGAAGTGACGCTTGCCATATAATACATAAAATTGATAAATACGATGAGCCAAATACAATTTTAACGGATCAATTGACCAAGCTTTACTCTCAACGCTCTCAACCATTTCATTCATGCACTCCTGCTTCCACGTTATGTATACTGTTTTAGATTAACTTTATGCTGAAAATATTTTTCGTTAAAGTATTGTTTATTTTTTGCGTATAGATTCTTCTCGCAAGAGATTGGCAATCAATCCACGGTCAAAGATTCGATCTACCTGTTCTCAATGGCGTCGGTTATGCAGTTTATGGTAAGTATTTATGGCAAAAATCTCGACAGTTATCTTTATGAGTCGTTGTTTGCGACTTGGTGTTTTAGTCGAGCACACAATTCACCAATATCTATTCATGATAATGCATTTTTTTAATTCTATCGTAAATGTGTATGGTGTGCGGAGGTCAAAACATCCAGCCATGCTTGTTGATCCAACATTGATGTAGATGTCGATGTGTCCACTCTCTATCTTGACTGATACCAGTTTTTATAACGAAACTTTTATCTGTTTTGACATTTACATTTGCAGGATGTCAGCATCCTCTTTATCGTCATGGTATTTGCCAATGGCCGGGATGTGATGCATTCTGCGACAACTTTCAACTTTTCATACAGTAAGTTCGCCGTAATTTTCACCAGTTTATTTTCCTTTTTTCTTAGTTAATCGCTGAAGTGCGAGGGCAATTGAATAAATGCCAAATAATTAAAATGAAACTGAAATTTAAAGGCAGCTTGGATGCAACAATTAATTACTTCCTCAATTTTGAACTTTCAGGGAGGGACATGCTTGCTAAGAGCGACACAATGAGAACTTGCTGTAGGCAACTGGATTTATAGAAGCCCTTGCAAAACAACAGAAAAATTTAAAAACATTGAAAAAGTATTAATAAATCCAAACAGCAGACAAAAGTAACTTCTACTGAAGAGTTGTGCATATACTATCTACTGCATTTTATTACCTAAAGGCCTGTATTGTTAAGAGGCATTACAATTGACATTTAACATAAACGACAACTTTTTTGAAAATAGACATGTTTCGACATATCATGGTGCCATCTTCAGTATGAGTGAAATAATAGGTGATACAGGGTTTATATAAAAGTAATATGATACATAAATTACAAAAATAAAAAGGAAATAAGATAAATTAATGAGGAGCGTCCGAGAGTATTATTAACTAAATATTGTATTGAATTTAAAAACTTGAACATTGAAGTCAGGGTTAGTTTTCTTAATGTGGAGTGCTTCTTTGATTTTAAGGGTGAATGAGGTGTCGGCAGTGTCGATGATTTTGAAACAAGAGGGTGAATAGTTGGTTTTGCATGAGGGAGATTAAGAAGGTGTTGGTAGATATGAGAGTTTTTGTCTGTTGTTGTATGTTCCCTGATTCTGGTGGATAAATGGCGCGAAGTTTCGCCAATGTATCGGGAATTACATCCCGCGCAATTGAATTCATATACCACCATAGATTTAATTGAATCAGGGATTGGGTCTTTGAATGAGAAAAGGTTTTTGATTTTGAATGATGTGAAAATTAGTCGAATGTCAATATCTGTACAGAAGCGTTTCATAATGTTTGTAAGTCTGCGTTGTGTGTGTCGTGAGTAATGTCCGATGTATGGTAGTTTGAAGTATAGAGTTGCTATTTTGGAATTTTCATTTGTGTTGGTTGGGATCGTCGTGTCAGGAGTTTCGGTGTCTAGTTTGAGGTTGTTGCTTTGTTTGTTGTCGAGATATCGTTTTTACGGTTCTGTTAATAAAGTGAAGTGGGAAAGAGTTTCGTAGAAGAGTGGATGTGATGTTTTTTATGTCTCGTTGAAAGCCATTGTTCGTATTGTTAAGTTTGTATGCTCTGTCGATTAGTGTGCGTATAAGTCCAGTTTTGTATGAAAGTGGTGTGAAACTAAAATAATTCGTCAGAAGTCCTGTGTTTGTTGGTTTGTGGTATGTAGATGTTGTACAGCTGTCATGGGATTTTGCTAGTAAAATGTCAAGAAATGGCAGTTGATCTTGTTGTTCAGTTTCAAATGAAAATCTAACGTTTGCGTGCTGTGTGTTAATGTAATTATAAAACTTCATGTCCTCAGTTTCGTTAGTAAAAACACAATAAAATCATTAACAATACAACAAGGTTTACCCCACTCGAAGAAGACGTCACACTACCACGTGAAGCCAAACTACAACGACTGTTAAGGAAGCTTCTAAAGAAAGACTCCATTAACAATAAAGTTTATAATGATATCTTCCCCAGAGGTTCTCAACCCTCACGCTTCTATGGCTTACCGAAACTTCACAAGAAACGAGAACCAGAACAATCGCCTCCACTACGACCGATAGTTTCATCAATCAACGCATACAATTATAATTTAGCTAAGTATCTTAGTTCTCTACTAACACCACTCATACCAGATGACCACTCCACTAAAGATTCTTTCACTTTCCTCGACGACTTCTCATCTTTCAACTCATCAACTTCTTGTCACAAATTCTTCATCTCCTACGACGTTGAAAGCCTATTTACTAACATACCACTTACTGAAACCATCAACCTAGCAATCGACTTAATATTCACTCACAAACCCAGGTTCGGTATAGACAGGACAGATCTCACACAACTGTTTTTAATAGCAACAGCACAGACGCATTTTTTATATAATGGAAAATTTTATGACCAGACGGACGGTGTTGCGATGGGCTCTCCCTTAGCACCCATACTTGCTAACATTTTCATGAGCTCACATGAACGAAACTGGCTAAACAACTACAACGACACTAAACCTCTATTTTACCGCAGATACGTTGACGATATCTCTTGTGTTTTTACTAACGAAACTGAGGCCATGAAGTTTTATAATTACATTAACACACAGCACGCAAACATTAGATTTTCATTTGAAACTGAACAACAAGATCAACTGCCATTTCTTGACATTTTACTAACAAAATCCCATGACAGCTGTACAACATCTACATACCACAAACCAACAAACACAGGACTTCTGACGAATTATTTTAGTTTCACACCACTTTCATACAAAACCGGACTTATACGCACACTAATCGACAGAGCATACAAACTTAATAATACAAACAATGGCTTTCAACGAGACATAAAAAACATCACATCCACTCTTCTACGAAACTCTTTCCCACTTCACTTTATTAACAGAACCGTAAAACGATATCTCGACAACAAACAAAGCAACAACCTCAAACTAGACACCGAAACTCCTGACACGACGATCCCAACCAACACAAATGAAAATTCCAAAATAACAACTCTATACTTCAAACTACCATACATCGGACATTACTCACGACACACACAACGCAGACTTACAAACATTATGAAACGCTTCTGTACAGATATTGACATTCGACTAATTTTCACATCATTCAAAATCAAAAACCTTTTCTCATTCAAAGACCCAATCCCTGATTCAATTAAATCTATGGTGGTATATGAATTCAATTGCGCGGGATGTAATTCCCGATACATTGGCGAAACTTCGCGCCATTTATCCACCAGAATCAGGGAACATACCACGACAGACAAAAACTCTCATATCTACTGACACCTTCTTAAATCTCACTCATGCAAAACCAACTATTCACCCTCTTGTTTCAAAATCATCGACACTGCCGACACCTCATTCACCCTTAAAATCAAAGAAGCACTCCACATTAACAAAACTAACCCTGACTTCAATGTTCAAGTTTTTAAATTCAATACAATATTTAGTTAATAATACTCTCGGACGCTCCTCATTAATTTATCTTATTTCCTTTTTATTGTTGTAATTTATGTATAATATTACTTTTATATAAACCCTGTATCACCTATTATTTCACTCATACTGAAGATGGCATCATGAGATGTCGAAACATGTCTATTTTCAAAAAAGTTGTCGTTTATATTAAATGTCTATTGGCAATAGTGCTTTTACGAAATTATGAAACCATTACAATTGCTATTCAGCGTACGTGGACAAACTTTGTTTTGGTTTTGATCTCGCCCTCTGGCCCACAAGATGCTGCTCGTTTGTTATTGTTTTTGAATTCTCACCACCCTTCTGTCTTCCGAAAATCAAAAAAGCAAGTTTTGAATGTGGCTTTTAATGTCCACTTTCCAGGGGGAAAACTAGAACGTTAATTGGGGCTATGTATTCATATATTCAGCTCTACCCTGCTGATTTCTTTTTGCCATGTTAATTTCAAAATAAATCAGTAGGGTAGAGCTTAATATATGATTATTTACCCCCCAATTAGCGTTCTACTTTCGCCCCTGGCTCTTTCTTGGGTTAAATCTACTTAAATGTTGAATATACTTCACATGTGCTTAGACCATTATCTTTTTAGGAGTTTATAGGTGTGCAAATTCTACTCGTGAAAGACACAGTTCACTGATAGGCAATATATTAATCCTAACCTATTAATCCTTTAGGATTAATATATTATATATATTCTCTCATGATGGCTTTGGAATAAAGACTGATAGGCAACGTTCCTTTTATTTCAGTCATCTTAACACTGAGCACCCGCTGGACGATAGAAGCACGGCGCAAGCGAGGGTTCAAATGCAAGTGGTTTCGCATTTAGAGGGACAGGTAAAGTTTCTGGTATTAGCATTGTTTTTGTTATGCTTTATTTATTACTTCATAGACTTACGCCGTATAGTCCCTCCTCTTAAAATAAATTCGTTATGATTTGACAATTAAGGTTGAACATGATAAATATAAAAATATATGTATGTGTAACACGTGATATAATTTTAGCATTTAAATTAAAACAGAAATTAATATAAATGTTTCCAATCATTTTTTTGGTATGAATTGTGGGAAAGTAGCTTGAGTGACACAACACCAGTTGCACGTGCTTAAACGTAATTCTTTGAGGTTCTTTTTCAGTTAAACCGTGAAAGAGATAGATTGTCGGCCATGATGAAACATCTGCATACACAAAAGGTACGCACCGGCTTGGTGTGAATATTTAAATTTACGTAATGCATTCATCACATTTCAAATACGATCATCGATTTTCCACATTGTTAGATTGTTTTATGGACATACATGTATAAAACAGTTTTAAGAATACATTTAGATGAATATTTTTGTAAGGTGCCAAAGTCAAATTTTTTAGTGCTGCTAACTGCAAAAACTACAATTTCCTAAATATATAAAGGTGATTATGCAATGTGACGTCATGACGATCTCTTTTGCATATTGAAGAAAAGTAGCATGTCTCCAGAGAAAAATTAAAGTCACACAATTCTATTGAAGAAGTTATTAAGTCATTTAAGTTTAAATTGCCTTCACAATACAATCATAAAATACTATTGTGAAGTTTGGTGTCATAAACACTTAAAAGAGTAGTTTAAAAATTCAGTTAAACTTAACATTTTCCCAAAGTTTGCTTCATATTTTCATGATATTATATGTGCTTGTAGAATACTGTTCAGAGTACCCCGCCTCCCAAGAGTTCAGAGTCCCCACCTGTTCAATCCATCTCGTCAACTAGACTAAGGAAAGAGACACCAAAGGAAACCTCGTCCGTTGATCTCATTCCTCAAGGCCCACCGAACGTCATAGTCTGTCGGGAAACGTCAGTGATATCGTCCTCAATCCCTGTCAGCAAATCGCAGTCAAACACAAGCAAGGCCGTCGAAAAAAACGAAAAATTGGAAGAGGAAACAAACTGCAAAAAGAGCAAAGAGATATCTAGTTCAGGTCGTGGTACTTACAAAAGATCATCACAAGGCTCTCCTGTATCTCTTGCTCAAGGTTTGTCAGATGATTATTGAAAGTCATTACCCACGTTTTACGAGAAAACAAGCTTTTTAATGGTTTTCTTTGTTTACACCAACTTATCTTTCCTGTCAGACAGCTAAGGAAAAGTTGTTTATCGGTGTTTTTTTGAAGGTGTCAATTGATTTAGAATATATTTTTCCAAGAACACGTGCATTTATGTCAATTACGCTTCTTTTTTTATGGGTAATTAGGTAGACATTCTTTCCGTAATGCTGTTTAATGTGTAATGGAAGGGAGTGTGAAATAGAAGGAATTTTGCTTCTTTTGTACATTCTTCTAAAACACCGCCTTTACAATTATCTTATGAGATCTGTTTATTTAAAAAAAGTTCAAGTATATAGCTACGGCAGAGGGGGAAGTGAAACATATATTTACCTTTATTAAATTCTAATTAGACTATGCTTTAAAAGCTTGTTTTCCAATATTAGTTGCGGATTGAACAATCTGATTGCACTTTTCACTGTCTTGTCAAATGAAATCTGATTGAATGTGTTATGTATTGTGTGTCTCGTTATAGATATGCAACAATCTGCTGATTTCTATCAAAAGACAGACGTTCGTCCTCCGTTCACTTACGCATCTTTAATTCGCCAGGTAACATTCAAGTTTGTTCGTGTTTTGTATAATTTTAGTGTTAACTCGCTGTAATGACGGTAAATTTGTAAAGAAATGAACAATGATAATGATGAAGAATTTAGCATGGCCAAATTTTCGTGGGGGCTACCCTTCTGTACGTAGACAGAAGCGAAGCTAGTTCGACTTTTTTACATTTTTCCAAATATGTCAATTGGTGTTCAAGACTATAAAATTGGAAACGGTTGAAAATTCACGTATTAGTAGTAAACCTGCAGGCTAGCATGTCTTTTGTCGATTTTGGCATGAGATTGATCGTGTTCTCAGGTGGATTTTATTATCTGAAATTTGTGTGTTTCTTTCATTCACGCATGGTTTTTGGTGTGCATGCATGATGCAAAGAAAGTAGAGTTATCTGTGACACTTATTTGTGTTTTATTTTTTCCAGTCCATCCTCGACGCCCCTGATGAACAGCTCACTCTTAATGAAATATATAATTGGTTTACGGACAACTTCGCATACTTCCGCCGCAATACTGCTACATGGAAGGTAAAAAAGTACTTTGATTTGTTTTATATCCATTGCGTTTCAGGGAAAATATTCTGTTCTCCATCGTCTTAAATTTCTCTTATATTGGGTCTACGACCACACTTTCACTGGCAATGACACCCATGCTTTAAAACGTGTTTACATTGAAGTTGTTTCTTATAATAAATAAAGTTATAATTGGTGCGACAAGGAGTGAGCATTCAGTGAGCTAGCCGGGTAGCAAAGCCTAAAGCTTAACCGCTAACAAATTTCGAGGTGACCCAGAATGCGGTGCGGTTGAACCCAAAATGCAATGCAGAATTGAGGTAAAATGGACATGATTATTAGCAAACGGTAATCTATATTCAATTATTGTCTCCCAGCTAGACACTGTTGTTGATGCTCTAAGAAATTATTTTGTACTTGACTTTCGGCATATTAGTGTATAATAATAATGTATTGATGACTTAAATCAAGTGTTATGGGGCTGTAGGTTTTTGCCATGGCTTACATTGCAGATGTTGTTATGCCACAATTGTCGTTCGTATCTTGTTTTTCTGTGGTATATTTCCGCTCATTTTATAATGTATAGCATTCAACGTTCATTTAAAATTGTTTTTAATGTAGGCTGAGTAGCTAAGTAGGCTGAAGCCTCCCGGCCCTCCCCTCCTTTTCGAGAGGCCCGTTGTAATTTGTATTTAGACATTGTTTTTACTCTTTGTCATTTCTGACAAGCTAAATGTTCTAAAGTTGGACTTTATATTCTAAGCTGCTCTAAGCTGTGCGATCTACTATTTTAGTGAACGATGCATAGAACTCATAAACTAGTGAGTTTACGCAGTTTGATCTTTAAATCTATTCCTTATTGTTTACATTATGATTTACAAACAGATACCGGGAAAGGAAACTCGATTTATTGGGAGGAATAGAAATCACTTAAATGCCCACATCTTTGTCGTAGCCTACAGGTCCCGTAATTAGTAATCCGCGACTGGTTAGTGCAATCAGAAAATCTGTTGGATTTCCTCAGGAATAGAGAAATTAACTGGCTGCCAGCATATATATGATGTTAATTTTTTGATGATTCAAGTAATTCTTCTGGTTGGAATGTTTACTTTAAATACCGCTTATACCGGTGCGTTTCCAATACAACTTTCACAAAAATGTCAAATTTAAACATACTTATTCTATTAATTTGGCTTCTTCCGTGATTCGCGTTTTCGATGCTTTAAAAAGCTGCGTGTCATCTTTGTTGTGGTTTACAGATATAAAGTGGGCTTAGTCGTGCATCATTTTTACTGTACATTTCCCTCTGTTTCAATACGCATTATGTTTGAAGTTGTTTTAAACTTGAAACGTGTTACTCAGCTTTTTTGAAGTCTATTGCTTTGAGTCTGTAGTGAACTGTTAAAACTAATAAGCTTGTGTTGTGTTATCTTCTGTCATATTGCATTATTTCTGAAGCCTGAAGTTGTGAAAATAAGGATTTTGTCAAAAATGTCTTGTATTAAAATGAACAGGTTTTGTGCTGATTTCTGTGTATGAAACGCAACGATCTAACATGCTGGAGGACGGATTCGCCATCTAATTACATTATATATATTCAGGGTGATGGCAATTTTTTTGTTTTGCTCATAGTCTCAAGCCATGACTGTCTGACAAATATATCATTCTTCAATTATCAAAAAATTGACGTGACATCACGTGACAGCGATTAAGCAATTTCTATATTCACACCTTATATGTTTAAATGATTATTTTTGCAACAATCGCGTGGGAAATTAGTCTAGGTTTATATGGTACTGATATTGAAATCATTTCACATTGCCTTTTAGTCATAGGTTAACAACAATAAGTGCTTTTTTTGCAAAATTCAAGCCTGTGGCTTCTTTATCATGCAATTGTCTCTCAGGCATTTCCCACTCACAAAGGCAGCACTTACTGCCTTTAGGTATTCTAGTTTACAATATTTGTAGTGGAGTTTCATAGCCACGACACATATAATCATTGGTCACTGAATGTCTGATTGAAGTTTGCCATTGGGCAATCCTCTTTAACAAAAACGGTATATACCATACAGAGATGGGTGTTATCTTTACTTGATATTGCTTGTTTTGTCGAAGTGAATCATCCCTCATAAGCAATGGATGTTTTTGCGACAAAAAATTCATCTTTAGAATGCTGTACGTCACAATCTCTCGCTTCATAAATGTTTTGTGCGCAAGGAGAACGTAAAAGGAGCCGTATGGACAGTCGACGAGAATGAATATAAGAAAAGAAGGCCACAGAAAGCCTTGAGGTATTGATCTGTTTCCATTAAAGTTTTTTCCTGAATGAAAGACTTGCTTTCTGTAGCAAAGCCAGCTCATGTTTTACAACTACAATGCATTTATTTTTGTGTTCAATCACTGGAAAACAAATTATCGAAATATTTTTTTTGAAATGAATGGCAGTTTTCGCGCTGGCTTTGCCACTGCTTGTTTTAAGATGTTTAAGAGTAGTCTGTTGAAGGAAATAATTTGAGTGCTTGAACTTATTTTCTGTGAATACTATATTTTTGTGTTTTTGCTCTTGCTAATTTTTCGAAAAAAGTAGGTTTTACCATGAAACCAGGCTCATCACCACCTTTTTGACATCGGGGCTGATGAAATTCATATACACCATTAAACTTTCAATTATCTGTGCTCAGCAACCAAGTGAAACATGACGCTACAGAGAAAAGAACTTCGTCGGTGTCATTTCACGAGCCGCGTATATCCGACATGCCGACCCAGGCCTCTTTTGAGGTAGCAACGCACACTGTGATTCAAGTGCCTGAATTTCCTGAGCTGAACTCGGAAGAATTGGACTTCAAGGATGCCGAAGATGATTCAGAAGAACCGCCGATCAAACGAGCTCATGGCGAAGTAGTTACTGTAAATAACTCGTCGGGAATATCAAAACTTGTCGAATTTTGCTCAAAGGATATAAAGTATGTCAAGTAACTACGTAAGGTTTCATTTTTTTCAGTATTTTACATAAATTTTTCTTGTGTTATAGCAGTCAACTGTCAAACAGCAACGTTCAAGTAAAACTTGAACCTCCAGACGAAGGTGAACTTGAAATATCAGAAATGACCTAAAAGGTACGATTTTAGTCGGATTTTTTAATTAGCAAAAACTAAAAATAGGGAATTTTTCCACTCCAGTCTATCCAAAAGTGTATAATGTTATAACTCGTTGATCTGATGGTAATTCTTGTTCCCATATATAGAGGGTCTAGGCCCATTATAGGCTAACCCAATCACAAGTGCCAATGTTTTTTTACTAAAATTCTTTGGACGCGTTTTTTGTCACTTAAACCCTGACAACTCGTAGCAACTTGTTTCCCTGTCTTGCGATATGATTTTTTTATGTCGGTCTTTCCGAAAAATGACCTAATCTTCTCCATCTAAAAATCTTGTTATTGTCTGTATATATGGTTACTCATTAGTAAAAATCTAGTGATAAATCTAGCGTTTTTACATGCACAAGTAGTCTTGCTAGCTTTGTCTTCGAAACTTAAAACTTGAATCATTGACGTCACTTTTTTTATTATTTAGCAATGTGTTCACAGGCATATTGGGAAAATTACTGTCGTCGTGGTAAGAGATTCATGCCACAGTTAAATCATATTGAAACGAACATGTTATTATAAAAAATATGTCGTTTCCATTGTTCATTATTTATTAATTCACTGTTTCGTTTGGCGCACTGACCGATAAACGTTCGTAAACTAGAATGTAGATTTATAGATGTTGTAACATACAGTGTAACATATAGATTTATTGCAGAGATAAACAAAATTAATGTATTTTGAACGAATATTATATTTTCCTTGCTAGCTTTGTCATCGAAACTTAAAACTTTAATAATTTAACTATGCAATTATATGAGATGATGTTATCAGTGCTGCCCAACAATGAAACTTATCTCGCTTCATGTTGCAATTAAATCATATTGAAACGAACATGTTTATTATAAAAAAATATGTCATTTCCGTTGTTCATTATGTATTAATTCACTGTTTCGTTTGGTGACTTGACCGATAAACGTTCGTAAACTGGAATGTAGATGTATACATGTTGTAACATACAGTGTAACATATAGATTTATTGCAGAGATAAACAAAATTAATGTATTTTGAACGAATATTATATTTGCCTTTTATACGAGCCTTATAACTTGGTGAGGTGAGTGTAAAGGTTTTTAGAACGCGTGAGTCTCTGGTCAAAATTTCTAAATGCTGTCAAAACGCAAGAATAGGTGTGCAATACGTACATATGGGTAGCCTGTAGCCTGTCATGTGCATGGCTAGTAAATGAAATAAATTTAATGAATATAGTTCAAATAAGATTGCATATTTAATATTATATACGTGAAACTTGTTCACGATTTGAAAATGTTTTTTAGTTAAACGACTAATATATTTGTTTAACTCATTCTGCTTTTTTCGACGGTCTAGCTTAGCTTGAATGTCACGTGACTGGGCGCACGAGACTCGCATAAAAAAAGTGATGTCATTTAGACCTCTCGCAACTTTTAAAGTTTTTTTCCACTGAAAAACATTTTTTCTATAATTCTGTGTTTCAAAACAGTTTTCTGAAGAGTCTGAGATGTCGCTCATACAACCGATAAATCAACAGTTTTATGACATGAGCTTAGACTACATATATCGACATTTGTATTGTACTAACTGTAGTACTGGATATTATTACTCGTAGGGTATACGGAGATGTAAATTTGCCTGTGTTGTTTTTTTCCAGTGTCAAACAAACCCACATTAGCCCACTCTTTGCGCATAACAAATACCAACATTAGTTACTTAGTACTACTGAATTGCTGAGTTATCAAAATTTTGACAACAATTCACCAAAGTTTTTCAAAGTTTACGATTATGTTTCATCAGAATACGAACTACGATAATACTACAAGACAAAACATATTCTGCAATGCAGGCCGCACCCCAACCACTTGCCAGCTACAGTCGAAAGCAAGGTTTTTATTAATCCGAAAAAAGCGTATGCGTATTTATCCAAGTTCAACCACTTGGTAAGATGACAAATTTATATTTGGTGGGCAGAGGTTCTAGAGTTTCGTTTGTGTAATTTTTTATTTGTTGCTGGGTTGCGTTAATATGTGTGAGCTACCTTTTCTAGACATTTTATTAACAAAATCACATAACACCTATACAACGTCGTCGTATCATAAACCAACCTACACGGGATTATTGACAAACTACTTCAATTTCACACCACTTTCATGCAAGATAGGATTAACACGCACACTTGATAGACAGAGCATACAAAATTAACAACACCGACAATGGCTTTCAACAAGACCTAAAGAACATCACATCTATTTTATTACGCAACTCTTTCCCACTACGCTTCATCAACAAAACTGTCAAATGATATTTCCATGACAAAACTAATACTAACTGCAAAGCAAACACCAAAACATCCGATATAACAATCACGACCAACAACAACGAACAGTCCATAAAAACTCTTTACTTCAAACTACCGTACATCGGACATCACTCACGACACACACAACGCAGACTTACAAACATCATCAAACGCTTCTGCACTGACATTAACATCCGACTAATTTTCACTTCCTTCAAAATCAAAAACTACTTCTACGACCAGTCAATCTACGACCAAAAACACTCTAAGCTTGAACAAATTTCCACAAAAGAAATTTCAACTGATTTTGGTATATTTGTTATCCCTTTACAACATATCGAAAGTCCCACAAAATCCTAGCACGGTAACATCGTGTAAATTACGTTTTATTTGAGGCATTTGGATTGAAAATCTGAGCGACATGGAAACGAGGCTCAAAAATTAATGTTTTAGATTTTATCCTTTTAGAACACTTAGTAAAGCACAAATATAAATATTATGGATTAAAAACAAGTGGATAATGATATTTTGTAAATTAATTAATATTTTGTCCTTTATTTACGTCAAAAATGCTGATCTTGCTGTTTTGGGTACTAATTTTCGCTGACTTGGTAGTTTTTTAGACAAACGCGTGTTTGAAGTACGTTTGTTTACGTATATTTTGCACGTGTTTAGATGGATATTTATTATATTTAATGTGACTTCCCTTTCAATACTTCAAATTGAAGCTTTGGCTCATTATTGGCATCAAAATGTGACGTTTCTTTGTTCTCCTCAAGGTAAGCAAAATAGATAACTTGAAGACAATGAGTTAATGAATGTATTATTTAATTGCTATTACATTTTACAATGAATGAATACGTCAATATTGTGGGTCACAATAATTTAAGTTAAAACTAACAAGAGGGGGCTATAATTAGCGACCTAATTACCAAATACAATGTTAATACCGCGTTCAAAGCCATAGATACATCAGGGCTGTAAAATATCGCATAAACCAGTAAATAAAACCAGGCTTTTTTGTGTTGTCGAACACTATTTTGCTTGTGAATCATTATAGGATGGATCAAATTCTGCGTCAGTACTGTGCAATATGTAAAGAATCAATTGTGAACAACGGGTGGCTCTAACATCTAAAGGGATAGATGGTATAAACCGAGCTAGTAAAGAAAGAGGCGATACAGTTGACGTCCGTGAAGGTGACAGCGTTCACATAGCATGTAGGAAACGATACACAAATCCATCATATATTTCTAAATCGCTACGTCAGAAGGAAGAGCGTCATCCCGTACCAAGAACCCTTCGCTCACAAAGTTCAGTTCAGTTCGATTTCAGAAGAGATTGCTTGTTTTGCGGAAATGAAATTAATCAAGAACAAGAGCGCAAAAGGGGTGTGTTGTTTGCACTGCTAGGACTATGGACATTCAAGACACTATCTTGAATGCTTGCAAAGTGAGATGCGATGACTGGGCCGAGTCCGTAATATCAAGGATCCAAAGTGTGCATGACCTACCGGCAGCTGACGCAATGTATCATCATCTATGCAGTACAAACTTCAGGACAAAAATGAGAATTCCAGCGCCATTTAATGACCAACCACCGCTCAAAAAGCGCAAATCAGGACGACAAATCAAGAACACTGCCAACGATGCATTTTTAAAGGTAGCCCAATATTTAGAAAACATTGATGACCAAGTTACTGTATTAGATTTAATAAAAAAGCTGGAGGAGTATTTGGCGGAGTCCGCGACTGATAGTACCGCATATAGCAAGCGCTACGTGAAAGAAAGGATTCTAGAGCACTTTGGGTATAATGTGATTATCACAAATCAACCAGGCATGCCAAGTATTGTGACATTCAGAAGAACTGCTGCGTCTATACTAGAGGAATTCCACATGCAGCAGAAAGAAAATTCCAATCCTGAAGATGAGAAACTGAATGTTATAAGAGCAGCAGCAAAACTTTTACGTAGTGACATAAAATGTATTGAAACACCAAACGACATATATCCGTTAATCGACAGTGACATTGACAAAAATCTTGAATTCTTACCCCCAACACTTCAGCTTCTTCTTAATCAACTGTTTTCAGGAAAAGACACATCTCGGAAAGCTTTTGTTGGTCAAGCGATTATGCAGTCAACTCGTCCTCGTGCTTTGCTTGCACCTTTACAGATTGGAATGGGTGTTTTACTCCATCACAGCTTTGCCTCGCGTTTTTTAATAGACATGCTTAATCATGCTGGTTTCTGTTCGTCATATGAAGAAGTCCTCTCATTTAAACGAAATGCAGCCGTAAGTCAAGGGACTACAATCCCGGATTATAATGGTGAGTTTACACAGTATGGTTTGGATAACCTCGACCATAATCTCCGAACTATCGACGGGCATAGTACATTTCACGGTACAGGGATAATTGCAATGGTAACACCAGGTACAAATAAAATAAGCCAAGTTCCAAGGAAAAAGGTTAAAGATCAAGACATCTTATCAACTGGTCAAATAGAAATTTGGTTGGAAAATGTGTGGTTATGTTATCGTACCTAGAACAACTGATCTTCCAGCAGCTCCTGAAAACTTGCTTAATATAATACGATGCAACTGTACCACAAATTGTTCAACTGCAAGATGTACCTGTCGTAAAAATGGACTTCACTGCAAAATGGCATGTGGTCAATGTAGAGGTACTGGTTGCACTAACAGTGGTGTTGATGTTGAAGATGATTAACAAAAGTATGAAATGACAGAAATGTCTTTGTAAATCAAAGTACACTATATCAACCATATGTAAATTTAGTGACATTCTTGTATTACTATGTAACCTAAAGGATTCCTTTTTTTCGGTCGTTGAAGACTTAACATGATTTTTAATAGCCACGCTGCAGATTTATATAATCAAATATGATATTCGTTAGGTCAAAGCAGTGTTATTTTGTAATTCTTGTTTATAGCCTCGTTTCATGTCATAATCTCACAGAAAACATTATTTTACGAAGTTGCCGGCCTCAGATCATGTGGGACTTTTAATATGTTGTTCTGTACATGAAAGGAAAGATATTTTTGAAGAGTGAGCTTTTGTGGGAATTAGTTCAAGGTTCAACCATAAATCTACTGGACTATTCTCATTCAAAGATCCTATCCCTGATTCTATTAAATCTATGGTGGTATTCCAATTCGATTGTACGAGATGTAATTCCCGATACATTGGCGAAACTTCTCGTCACTTATCCACCAGAATCAGGGAACACACCACAACTCACAAAGATTAACATATCTTTCGACACCTTTTAAAATCACCTTCATGCAAAACTAACTATTCACCCTCTTGCTTTAAAATCATCGACACTGCAGATACTACTTTTGCACTGAAAATCAAAGAAGCACTTCACATTAAGAAAACTAACCCTAATCTGAACGTTCAAGTTTTTCGTTTTAACACAATATTCAGCCTGTAAATACTTTCATCATTAATTCTAACCACTATTTCATTGTAATCTAATAATCTATTCATAAGTGTATAATTTGTATCACAGTATTATATTACTCTAATATATATTCATCACATACATATTCCTTATAAAACTGAAGATGGCGTCATGAGATGTTGAAACATGTTTATTTTAAAAAAACTTGTCGTTTTTATTAAATGCGCAATATCAGTAGCTCTTTTACGAACTAGCGGTAATATATGAATACACCTATAAATGACTGTACAAATGCCGATATCTATGAGAGTATGAATGTCAATACAAAGGAAAGTATGAATCTCAATACCAATAACAATATAAATTTCCATACCAATAACTTTATT